ATATCCACACCGGGCGAGCTTGAAAAATATGCCCGGCCACGGTGGGATTCGAACTACGACCTTTGGAATACTAGCCCAATGCTCTTCCAACTGAGCTACGCGGTCAGGACGGTTCGAGTAAGTGATATTTCGGAACAATATCTAGTTTTTCAAGCTCGCCCGGTGTGGATATGCACTCAGAGTAACATCCCAATCATATTATTCACCTGAGTACACTACATCAACACAGAAACAAATTCATATTACAAGAACACATTGGTATTGAAGGAACTAGATATTGTTCCGAAATATCACTTACTCGAACCGTCCTGACCGCGTAGCTCAGTTGGAAGAGCATTGGGCTAGTATTCCAAAGGTCGTAGGTTCGAATCCCACCGTGGCCGGACATATTTTTCAAGCTCGCCCGGTGTGGATATGCACTCAGAGTAACATCCCAATCATATATTGGATAAGTTGCAGGAAAGTATGGGTAAATCTTCATTCTTTGCAGTTTGTCAATTGTCATGGATAATGTAGCAGCTTAAAATAAATCAAAATACTTGCGATAGATGAACCAGGCGAAAATCGTAATCTTAGGATAAATATTAATGCCCAGAATAAAACACGTAAAAGAGCAATAACATAAATATAATTTAAAATATTTATTTGAAAGCTAACGTTTCGTCTTTAACTTAAGACATCTTCAGAGCAATGACATACAAAGCGGAAAACACGGAAATATGAATAAATTACAACTATTTACAAGATATTATATTACAAAAGTAGAAAGAGGAATGGATCAGAGTAGATGTAGAGGGACCGAGCTGTCCTGTAAGTTGAGAGAGGGTTTGAGTTTGTCAATGAGAAGACTTTCTCGAATGAAGAGTTCGTCTGGAGACGAGCAACAAGAAATAATTTGATAATCATTTAGAGAGGCGGAGTGCCCAGTGCTATCAAGATGGGAAAGGATACTAGACATGGTCGGATTGCTGCTTTTACTGCCTGTTAGAGGAGAAGCACCCAAATGTTCAGAAACTCGTGTGTGCAAGTGACGGACCGTTTGGCCCAAATACGTTGCGGAACAGCAACGACACGTGAAGGAATACACAACACAAGATCTTAAAGCGTTAGGAATTTTGTCATTAAAGGTGAAGAGTTGAGACAAACGTAAAGTTGGACGAAACTATTTAAATGTATCGAGTAGCCACAGATTATGACTGGCGATTGTCCTTGGCACATATTGTATAGACTCTACAATTTTTGAGTCCCTGACCGTATAGTGATGACGTAAACTTTACAGGTATATGCGCCGAGTGGACTGAACTAACATTGGCAGCCTACTTGCAATGGGGGGTGATGAGATAACCTGTGCCTTGCCCGCGGTAGGAACGAGTGTTCTCTGCTCTCTCAGGCAAAATGTTTCTTCACCCTGCTGACGAACGCTAGAGGACACATGATTTTGAAAAAAAGAATGATTATTAGCAAATTATTGGGGGGCTGAAGCCCCGCTCTGGTTGCTACGGCCCTGGATAGAGTTTAAATCAGAGAAAACAGGATCGGTACTTCAACAGCCAATTTGCTATGGCAATTCTAAAGAACATTCTCGTTTACTGATATTTTTGTGTGTGTTTTTGACGTTGTTAACATTATGCAACGCGCAAAAAATTATAGGGAGGGCTCAGCCCCCCAATTCAACATGAAATTTTAACAAGGGTGACTGAGCCGCAGCCCCCCCCCCCCCTCCACTACACCACTGGACGCAGGAGGGTTTGCGGGCAAGCTCCAGGGTTGGCATCGTAGAAGGTTCCCCGGTATATTTGACTATTATTAGCGGATTATCAGCATTCTCTCCTCGCCGTGAGTGATATATATGTTATAGCACTATTCAGAAAGCACTGGTTGCATGGTCAATATAGCAATGGAACTCCAATGCAAGAAGAATATTCCTGATGCGTTCAGGGGCGAAACTGGCCCCTTTTAATTAGGGGGTGTCCACCAGAATTCTTCTGCCAAAACCGATGATGCCCTACAGCAAATTTTTATTTCTGCATGGTCACTATTTTTCCCAAAAATGTTGGCGAGGGGGGGGGGGGAGTGGTTGAAAAAATTGTTTCCGGGCATAAACCAGTTAAACTAAGGGTCAAAATTGTACAAATTTCTGTTAAGACATAGGCAAAACCCTTATTTTTGGAACAATATCTGTATACTTTAGGTCTATAAATTTTATTCAATTTCCTCTGAAAGCCCTGTAAGTTACTTAACAAGAGACATTCTATCATTTAAAATCTTTGATTGCCCTGCCAATCCAGATGATTCGTCCTGCCAATCCAGATGATTCGTATTCCGGGGGTGTCACCCCCCCCCATACCCCCCTCAAGTTTCACCCCTGGATGTGTTTAAAACGATGTGTCCAGTGTTTGGGGGGCTGTAGTAATTTGCATGAATCTTCAGTCCATCCCTCCAATATTGCGGATATTACTGGGTAAATTTTGCTGGTAAAGTTAACGGTAGCAGTTTTCTCTTTTCATCGAATAATGGGATTTGTGTACTTCCATAAATACTTGTGCCATCACTAGAAAATTAGGGCAACCTCGGTGTTATGACGGAAAGTAGGTTAGTTATTTTGTGAGTAGCAGAGTGCGCTCCATTGTTGAGGTTGAAAAATTGTTTGTTGTATAGTTGTACCCATGTAGGAGTCTAGAGATGTTCTTAATTGATACATCAGAGGCGATGTGTTTCTTTTGTCTACAACACATCAGGCATGACTACAAAAAAGATTTATATCATGCTTATATGATGGTATGACAAGTATTGTATCCTATTCACAGCGAAAATAATTATATTCAAAATGAATATAAATAACAAAGAATAAGTTAATTAATAGCTTAGGCGTGCCCCACGCGTAAGTGCAGTACACACTTTGAGTAATAAAAAGGTGAGTAGAACTGGGAAATTTACCTTTCGCTCAGTTCTTTTCGGCGCGCAAGCATGAGAGGAAACGTCTATCCACCTCCCACAAAACCACGTAAGTCGTACACGCTCTGCATCCAAAGCCAAGTTGCTCCAGCTTGGCTTATGTTGCTGGATCACATTCTGTCCATACTTTAATTTCGCTGAGCAGATAGGTGCATGAGGGCTGTGAAATAGGTGATATCAAACTTTCTCCTTTGATTTTTTCCCACGAAAGATTGTTTTCTGGTTTGATACCAAGGGCGTTAGTGGTAGTGAGAACTTACCACGTTACCACGCCCGCCCCCTTTCCACTACCCCAATTTGGCCATCCGAGTTAGTAAGATTTGCTGCTCGTTTCCTAGACATATGCATTGTCAAGCATTCTGTGGTGTAAAAACTCATATGGTCAGAGAATAAAACAGCATAACAAAATTTCAGATGTAGCATTGCCCTGTAAAGCTTAGAATCGTCAGGAAAAGGGCAAGAATGCTGGGTAACAACATGGCGTGGTTACTGCGCGATATTTGTGGTTTTGACAAAAGATAATTGCAATTAGGTATCCAAATCGTAAGAATTTGTGCATTGGGAGAGTTTTAAGGCAAACGTGCGGTCTACACAGGGAACATATAAATATTTTCTTGTTAACTAGAGCGGTGCCTTTGGTAGTTCTCAGTCAGTCAATCAGTCGATATTATTCTTCTACGTACTCAAACCATAGTTTATCAAGATATGATGGTCTGGAAGATATGATGGTCTGTATGTTTCTTCTGACCAGAGTTGCAAAACCTGTTAAAATTTCCTCCGGGTGAAAGTAAAAGTTATCAAACCTTCCTCAAAATAAATTGAATAAATACTAAAATTTGGCTTCATCAAATAGCAATATACTAGAGTATATAAACTCAACTGATTCTGAAAGCATAAAGTTTGAAAGAGACGTGTCGTTAAATGCAGTACATCATTCTAACGTATAATTTGCCGTAATAGATTTATACTTTGGACAAATTGGACAGTCCTTACCTACTACATGTACATCCTATATGATATATTGAATATAAAAGAACATATAAAAAATATAGTCATAGACTTGAGAGTCAAGATAATCTTCAAATGTGATGGTTTCTGAATATGTAATAAAAAGCACAACAGTAGTCCACACGTAAAAATTGAGAAAATCAACAACTTGTTCCCGGGTGATATTGACAGGTGTGAACAATGTTGTGCTGCCCACTATGAACAAGCTGTCAACAAAACGTGTAACAACATTGTTGACAACTTGTTCATAGTGGGCAACACAACCTTCCTGTCGATATCAACTAAAGTTGATGATTTTATGCCTGCACACATATTATATAGAGGTCAGCAGTAAAACTATGGCAAGAACATTCCAGAGGTGGTATTTGATGTTTCTCTACTTGTGGTTTTGAAAAGCATTTGAGAGTGTTTAGGTCTTTAGACGTGCCAATCGCCCAATTTCACAGTCAGCGAGGCAGCGAATGCTCTCACTTGTTTCAAGCAAAGTGCTAAATTTAAACCATGCAGTATAGTGCCCTGCATGGCGGTTTATAGTCAATGGTAATGTTTGGAATGGTTGAAAATCAATGGCAATGGCAATATAATTTGTGGGAATTGACGGCGTACTGTAGGTACGAGGTATAAAAACAATGATTTCGATTATAAGACCTTTATTTATGATTTTTGTGGCTGTTTACAACATTTCACCTTGGCCATATTTATATAATTATTGCAATGTTTAGTTACTACAGCATGATAGTTCATTTAATTTATACCTATTATTTGTTCTCTAAAAACATTGGAATCATGTACTCAAATAATCTTTGAATAATATAATAATTTTCAAAATGAATTTCTTATTGTAACCATGATGAATAGCTCTTAGTAATAGCCTCACGTTATTTGCGGTGCAATAGTTTAAGGCGCATCTGATGCTTGACACATATACATTTTAATTTTACATAATATTTTTAGTTATTGTGTTCTCAGTATTC